CCCCCCCCCCCAGTATTCAATATGACTTGTTTAGGGAGGGTCTTCCTGAAAGTATTTCTCTGAGCTGCCATTACACTCCCAAAGTCAGATTTCAACCTCCAGAGCTTTCCAAAGAAACCAGAGAACCAGAGTAGCCACATTGAGCCCTCTGAGAAGAAAGAGGGAGGGAAGCATCCCCCAGAGTCCCCCGCTTCCCCACCACCCATCTCTTGCTAAGATGACTCAGGTTTTCATTCCCACTGTGCCAGACTGCAAACTTCCTATTATCCAATGGTTCTGAGAGTCAACAGCACTGTCCCTTTGCCATTCTTGAAAGGGGACCCTGATTTTCACAACCTGGTGGAGTATTTGTCTTCCTTTGAAGCCCTGATTATGAGCTTGTGTTTTTCAAGATAAAGGTATTTAATTTCCTTGGAGTTCACCCACCATCTTTTGTCTAGTGAAGCCTTTGGTAATCCAATCCCCTTGCATGGGGATGCTGGCATCTGAGGGTGGCTAGCAAGATTTCCTTTTATAGGAGCTGAGTGAGAAAATAAATAAAATAAGTGTTTTTTTGAAAAATGAAAACAGGAAAATGAAAACAGTTTGAAATGGAGCCTGACTTTTTTCTTCTTCTTCTTCTTCTTCTTCTTCTTCTTCTTCTTCTTCTTCTTCTTCTTCTTCTTCTTCTTCTTCTTCTTTTGTAGTCGCCAGTCTTTTACCAAATCTGCCATCTTATTTCTCAGTGTTTGCAGAAAGGTAGATGGTCCCCAATTTCCAGGTAGGAACAGAGAGAAGAGGTTATAAAGGGAAGGGTGAATGTTGTTGCATCTACAAGAGCCAAATACAGCCTGTTGAGAAGGCTCGAGACAGGAAGCATCACCTCAATGTTAGAGCTCTTCTTGGCCTTGGTGTTTGAGCTGTAATGCTGGATTAAAAGCGGGGTAAGCTTCAGTTCCTTTTCTTTGAAACTGTGTGCATTTTAATAGGATAACAAAGCAGAAAAGGATTACATTAGGCCCGGCATGTTGTCTGGTACATTTTAATTGAAACCAAAGTCCCAGCAATTACTGTCAGTTTCAGAGGTCTCTGGGAAAAAAAGAAGACCACCCTCCTACTTTGCTTCACCCCATCTCTCTGCTTATGCCACAGTCTTCTCATTCTTTTAGGTACATGTGAAAGCCAACTAGTGAAAATTATAAAAAGAAGATGACCCAGAGCTGCCGGGGAAAGCAAATTAGACTCCTGCTATTTGAGACACAATGTTGGAAAGCTCCCATGGCTTGACTCCTGGTGGCCATTTAAAGACTTCAAGGAAAGATCTTTTGGGTCATGATGCTCCTGCATGTCTGAGTCCTCCGATCAGTGAGTTAGATGCTGTAGTAAGTGCAATGGCTAATTTGCCAGAGAGAAAGGAAGAAAGGCACCTCCCATCTTGGGCCAGCGCTTCCAGCATGACCAGTAAGAGGTCACGTGGGGATTCTGCTTGGCCAAGAAGGCTTTGAGCATCTCTGAATAATGTGTGTCTGGATTTTGGCCATGGCAGAAGTGGAGCCACCACATGAAACTGGCCCTGGTTGCTATGGCTGAGCAGGTAGCTGACCCTGTGGTTGTGAAAATATGCACAGCATCCTCCACACAGCCTTGCTCCAGCACCTTGGCTCTTATTACAGTGCTAGCTCTTGTGTTTCAAAGAGCACTGCAGATGCAAGTTAATGTTGGCAGGCTGGCAGGACCCGGGCGTATTCTGAGGCACAGTAACCAGGGCAGGGTGACCTCTCTGATGATTTTCCTTCTCTTCTTTCCTCTGTGCCAGGGAACACTTGGTCCCCATGTATAACATGGAGAGGCCTCCCATTCATGCCATTTCACCTTTCCTAGGGGCCTGACTCCACCGCCACCAAACCCCACTGTCTGATCAGCCTCAACACACTCCGTGGAATGGGGAAGACTTTCCAAACTACAAGACTTTCCAACAATTAAAAAAAAAAAAAGATACCTTTATTTTACCACTAATGAACTTAACTTCTACATCAACCTTCAGTTTTCACTCCAGTGCCAAACAGACTTCTCAGTAAATTTGGACCTTAAATCAGGCAAACTTCTCTATTCCTTCACCTTCTTCACTGGGTGTACTTTTAGCCTCAGGGTTGGAGGGAACCATGATATTTCATAGAAAATGTGTGGGCATTTCATCTTCCATTCATCACACTCAGATTTCCAGTATTCCCATCTGGAGCCTGGAGAAACCTCAGGCCTTTCATTTTCTCTGCCTTCAGCACTCATGTGTCTTCCCATGACACTACTCTATTGTGGTATGCCACATAATTCTGGAATTTTCCAAACTCTAAAAGTGACCAAAAAAAAATATCTCTTTGTAGCTCTTGTAATCCTCAGCTCTGGGAGTGACACCAGCCACAGATGTCAGCATGGAGGCAGTCTTCTTGGCAGGGATGGGCCACACCCAGCATGCCCTAGTTGGGCCACCCTTTTATCTACTTTGCAGACTTGGTGACTTTGGGTCTTAACATTTGCTTTGTTTACTCTTTAACGCCTACCATCAACTTTAGGATCAATTTCCTTCAGCATGCAACAAGAAAATGTCTACATTCCAAAATACTTCTCTAGCAAGCCCAGACTCTTACCCTTCAACAGTATCATGTCTGCTGTGATCATGAAGAACTTGTTTTGGACTGTGCTTCTCTCAAGACAATAGCCATCTATGGGGACCAGAGATACTCTCCAAATGACCTCTGAGATAACATACAGGATCAGCTTTTGTGGTTCCATGGTAGCTTAATCTAGAACCTCTGCCATCTTCAGCCATCTTTCTCAAACCAGTCCTTATGCTGAGTCAAGGCTTCACCGGTCCTATAGCAGCCCTTATACTCTCTTCCCTGTAAATTCTGGCTTCTATAATCTTCCCAAGGTGCTTATTTGTCTGCTATACCCTCTTAACACTGTCCTTATCTGCTCAGGATCTGGGCAATTCTGAAATGTAGTTTATTATACCAATCTCTAATCATGCCTTGATATTTTCCTCTGTATTTCCCTCATGGCTCCCCCCCTCAAAATAGCATTTAGTCCCCTCTGCACCCACTCTCAGCCTTTCATTGCAGTCTGGTCAGTACTGGAATCGTTTGATAATCTCCCCTGGAACTTCAGATCCTTAATAGTATTTGAGACAGTCTTATTCCCAGGAACAAGATTTCTCATTGTCCCTGGATATCACCTGTTGATTGGCTGACTGACTGATATCAAGAAATGGAATGCTTGCAGACAGACAACAGAACAAACCATCCTGCAATTTTGAGAGTAGCATGACACACATTCCAGTGCAGATCAATAATGGTTGGGATGCTCTGGGCCCTTCCTATGAACAAAACCCAGTGTGTTCTAGTCTCAGATTGACCTTCCCAGCAACTCCATGGTATTCTGGTTTCTGTACTCATCACATACACAGAAGTGAGCTAGGCAGCATTAACCAGATGCCTATGTTCACAGACTCGTAATGGGATTCAAAGGAAATCTGCTTAAGCTCCATGTCTACTACCAGACATTTCCATGGATAGCTCTGGCCATTGTGAAGGGGGCATCTTAAGAAGTGTGTAGCCTTGGTGGCTTCCTAGGAAGGCCGAATTTCTTTTACATTATTTACATCAGCCGCCTAGAGCTGTATTCCAGAGATCTGCCTTGCCAGATGGAAGTCCACATACAAACATTTAGAAACACAGTGGCTCTCAACATCTTATGGGGGATAATTATTCATGCCAAAAAGAAAGACAAATGCTTGCTCTCCTTCATTCTATGTACTCCTTCTGAAGGGAGAGCATGGTCAAGTAAACCTGTTGCATATTTTATTGAGGGCACAAGTAGACTTCAAGAGTGACCATATACTTTATTGTCCAAGTCAGGACATGTTGAGAATACAAGCTATTTAAAAATAACTAACAAGCATTAGTGGGTCTCCCTACAAGAAATCCTGAGAGCTTAGGGACACTCTACATTTCTTACTGCACATACAGTGCAGTGTTCATTCTTTTATTCACCATTCATTCATCCATTGATTCAAGAAAATATCCAGTGCTGGACCTGGGTAGACAAAACCCACCCATATGAAATCTTCACAACAATAAAGATGGAAAGTGAACAAATAAGCAATAAGCAAATACTATAAAGTAATGGTGTATCCTATAAAGAAAAATAAAATAGGTTCCAGTGGGAGGGGAAGGATCCTGGAGACAGAGCACCATAGAGAAGGGAACAGGTGCCCCAACTTCAGAGTGGACGAAAGATGAGGAGGCTTGGGGAGAAGAAATAAGAGCATCTAGGGGCAATAGATCACACTGGGCCTCAAGGCTCCTGGGAACCTGAAATTTATGCTGAGATAGGAAGTTGCTAAAGGACTAATGCAGAGGGAATCTGTGATCTAATTTGCATTTTAAACATGAATCACTCTGGCCACTGTCAAGACACAAGGATGGGAAAAGGAGATCAAGCCATTGCAGCCACAAGGGAGGGAGATTGGTTGTGTTAGTTTGAATGAGAATGTCCCCAACAGATGTGGGCATTTGAATACATGATCCCCAGTTGGCCATGCTCACTGGAAAGACTAAAGAAAGGGGGCCTTGCAGGAAGAAGCATGTCACTGTAAGATGGGACTTGAGGCTTCAAGGACAGTTTGTTCTCTCTGCTGGTGTTTGCCATTAAGATGTGAGCCCTCGATTTCCACTGTTGATGCCACGCCTTCATTTGGCCTTTTATCACAGCAAAATTAATACAGTGTAGCTGGGGGCCAGGGTGGGAACAATGGCACTGGGATTTGAGAGGTAGATTCAGATAACACAGCATCTCTAGGATCTGTGTGTGAGAGGACACTGGTGCCTACAGCAGAAAAGACTTTGGGATGGGACTGGTCCCAGGCAGCCCAATCTAGGCTTCTGTGTCCCAGTATCCAAGTCATTGCTTACATTTTGGACAGGAGAACCATGCCATGTCAGTACTGTAAGTAGTTTGCTTACCTTTGGCCCTGTGATCTTCCTCCTTTGGGCATTTCCCCCCTTCCCACCACTTCCGCTTTAGAATCTCCAGCCGGTTGTTCTCCTGAAGCTGGAGAATGGCCAAGTCGAACTCATCCCGGAACACTGAGCCTACAGAGTCAAAGGAAAGTCCAGGGCAGGATGTCAATGTTCTCCTAGGCACACAGAGCTCCCCTTCCCAGCATATATCCTGGCCACGCTGTCCACTTAAACGCTGGGCAGGGCACAGATACAGCAGGTTGCATCTATCCCCAAGACCACTCTCCTCTAGCTCCATCTTCTCTGCTAAAAGAAGGGCCTTCTGACTTACATGGTCATCTTATGACCAAAGTCCTTAGCATGGCCAAGTAATGGCTTCCCAGAATTTGTGTGCCACCCATCTCCCTGCCTGGCACCTTTACTTTCTAATATAAGCAGAGAGCCTACCAGAATTCAATGATCTGCACAATGACACTCAGGAAATTGGCTGTAGATCCACCTATTAGCTTCTAGGAAGCTGCCATGTGTGTTCCTATGACACCAACCTCTCAGTCAGTTGTTTGACTTCTAAGTAACATTAATTTCTTGGGCACTTGAAACTGTTGCTACGTTACATTTGACAATCATTTATCATAGCCAACCACAAACCACTGAGAAAGAGCTAACCAGAGCATCCTCTTATCCATCTGCATGCAGAAGCCAGTCACCAGGTATCCCAACTCTCACAGCAGAGTTCACCAGCCTACTTCCCTGTCCATCACCCTGTGTCCCCATTACTCCTTCCCCATCAAGCAGAATGCTTTTTTTCTTTTGAGTATACTTCTTTCTAAATTTTTCCAATAGAATTCAGTCAAGGAGCTTCAGTTGACTAAAATTCAGGTTTAATCACAAAACAGGCTTCAATGAAAGCAGGGGGAGCTCAATGTCCTACAAGCATCCAAGACACTTGGAAAATAATTCAGTTGCCCAGTTTGCTTTCCCAAGCACTACAAAGATCCTGTGTGGACAGGTGCCTCTGAGAATGTCTATGGCATTGAATATAGGAGGAAGCCAGAATGAACTAATGGGGGCTTTCCACATTTAATGTGTATGGGAATCACTTGGAGATTTTGTTAAGTAGATGTTCTGATTAAGTGGGTTTGGGGCAGTGCCTGAGATTCTGCATTTCTGGAGAGCTCTAAGGCAATACCCAGGCTGCTGGGCCATAGACTTCCCTCCCTTCTTTAGGCATGAGTATGCAGAGTGAACACATGACAGCCTTGAATATGCTCTTTGTCGTGGCTGTCCATGCACAGTCATGTGTACAATGGGTGTGCAATACACACTTGTAGTGAATGAGCACATGAGCAAGTTGCCCTGCAGATATGGACAGATGATAGGTTACTGCTATAGAGATTGAGAGACAGTGTTTCACTGTAGCAAGGCACTTCCACCCAAATCTGTACTGGGGGCTGCGCTGCAGGCTCTTCAGATCACTCCCTGCTGGCTTTCTCAGTCCCAGAGCCATCTGATTCAGTTTCCATCTTCCTCATTGTTTCTCTTCTTTTCCATTTTCCCTGGGCCCAACCGCATCACTCATCCTGTGGTGGTTCTCTTCCCTCTTACTGAGAGAATGACATGCAGGTATAACCTCAGGGACCTAAGTCTTGCCTCATCAGCGAGTTGCATATCGTTCTTCCTAGCCTCACTTAAGAACTCAGGCCTCTCCACGGCCTACCCCCACCCATGTATCCTTTCCTATACAGCTGAGGCCTGCTCCGGAAAGTACTGCATTTGGAGATAAGTATCCTAGATTCAAGAAGGTGTCTCTTCCTAGTTTATGACCTTGGCCAAGAAGCCTAACTGCTCTAAATCTCAGTCCTAGTCTCTATAGCATGGGCATTAATCAAATCTACCTCTCACATGGCACAATGAAATGAGGCAACACATCTGAAACAGTATCATGGCAGAAGCAGGACAAAGGATAATTTTTTTCTTGATTATGTAAAACTGGTCGCTTTCATCTCAACTTTGTGTGGTCAAGTTCCCAGGGAAAGGAAGCACTTGACATTTAGGTTAAATTTATAGATTCACTAGAGTGTTACCAAGGTGCACCCCAATTTCATTTCATGATATACCCCACCATCTTGAAAGAAAATGTCAGCTAATACATTTCCCAAAGAGGCCCATAATCTGTAATATCAGTGTGCACTGATAAAATATGGCTGTAGGCAGAGCCTATGAAGGCTTGCCAGTGCACTGAGCAAAGCCTCATGACTGCTGGTGTCAGAACCGACAGTGTTCAGGGACGACTTTCACTATTGCCCATTCTGATTTGGTTGGTTTTTTAATCAGTGTTTTAGGAAGTAATCTGCTTTTACCAAACAACACTGGGAACTATAGGAAAAGTTCCTCAAGAAGGTTAAGTATGAGACACCTTGGGAAGGCACCTGACCAGCTATAGTTCTAAACCTCATAGTGGCTCCCTGAGGAGATATGGGAGACCTAATTCTATTACTTTGCTAACCAGGGCTGGAGGAAGTTAAAGCACCTATCTAAGGTACCATGACCAGCTCTCCCTGACTCCAAGGCCCTGCTTATTATATTCCAGCCGTAAATGAATTCTGTAATTTATAACACTTCAGTCAGGGAAAGATCAATCCAGGATGTGAAATGTGACTACAAGGTCTGCATGCCAAAGAGCAGAGCTCTCACATGGGCTAACATCCATACCTTGATTCTTTTGCCTGCCACCTTATTCAGGAACACCCTTACACCAAGACTGCTTGACACAGTGAAACACTCAATGGCCCAAATCAAATCACCCAGAGGAGGTGTTTACAACCCTCACAATCACAATCACAATCACAGCAGCTAAACACATCTCCTTATTTTCTGGTAGTGGAGCTATCAACAAAGTGAATGTCCTCTAAAAAGCACAGCTGTGGCACCATTTTAGTAGTCAAACAACTTACTCTTCTATAACAAAACCAGATGGCACCCAATAAATGTATTGTACACTGGTGCCCATTCTCAATGACCCACACCAAGTAGGAGTACTGAGAGCAGTGAAATCTACATAGAATTTGAAAGCCACCTTGTGTAATCTTGTCAGTAAACTACAAACGGCAAGATGTGTTCATCTCAATGCTCTAGCTCTTCCTTCATCCCATCGTTAGTAGAGACGCTAATCAGCAGGGAGATGGCCAAGGTGCCATAAACCAAGAGACAAGAACAAGTCCTAAAGTATCTTCCAGGAAGGCAATACTCTCCAGTAATTAGAATTATCCTCGAATAGTTAACAGATAAAATAACCAGTCAATTAGTTCTTTAATTACTGATTAGGGAGCTGGAAAAATGGCTGAGTCAATAAAGGACTTGTACAAATATGAGGACCTAAATTCAGATCTTCAACACCCAAATAAAAAGTGGGGCATGGTGGTGCACATCTGTAACCCTGGTGATGAGGAGGCAGAGACAGGGGGATCACTGCGATTAGGTCAGCCAAAACAGCAAGCATCAGTGAGCATCAGATCCCATTTCAAAAACAGAGGTAGAGCGCAACTGAGGAAGACATCCAATGTCAACCTCTGGCCTCCACATGTGTGCATGAACACACACACATGCACTCGCTTGTGCGCACACACACACACACACACACACACACACACACACACATACACACACACAAATGTACGCTTCTTAGAAGTCTGTTTGCTTTTTTTTTTTTCAACCATAAGAAAGCCTACCTAAAGTCAATCTCAAATTTATTGGTTCTAGAAACAGGGGTTAATGGATTCCAGACACATTCAGTGGTTTTGGCAACCCTGACCCTGCCTGGAGGAAGCTATACACAAAGGCTGTTCCTCTCCTGCCTACCGACTGGCATGCCAATCCCATAGCCCTTGGTGTCCAGCAGGCCCCCAATCTGAGTGAGGTTGCAGTTTCGCTGCCGATAGTACTCATTCATGGTGGACTCCAGCAGGAAGGCGTAGTTGGAATTCAACACCCTGGCAATTCCCTCCTCCGTGCTCTTCACAAACACACTTGGCTGCTTGGAATACATATAATTCCACATGCGTTGGTAGGTCTGGTAACGGGAATTCTGGGGAAATATCAGAAAGAAGTAGGGATGGGAAATGAGAAAGGAAAGAAAATGTTGGCTTAAAGAGGGAGGGAATCAAAGCCTTACCATGTAAGCCCTTTTGGGCCCTCCCCCCGTGCCCCACATCACAGCCAAGCACCTTTCCCTTCCTGATAGCTCAACTCAAGAGGGTCACTGCCATTGCCTAATGGAGGAGAGAACAGTGTCCTTAATAAGAGATGAAAAAGGCACCTGAGGTCCTGTGAGTTCTGCCTAGTGGGTTGATCACTGGTTCTGTCTCATCTACTTGCAGAGTTCCTCCAGCACCAGCTTCCTCATACTGGCAGAATTGGAATTCTGGTCATGTCCCTTCATTGTCCCTAAGTTTGGGGCAGTGTACTCAGGTTCATTCAAGGTTCATAAAAAGATACCCCTGAAGAAGCAGCACAGCTCTTTCTACCCATCTCCAGCCAGTGTATCAACTACATAAAGCAAGGCTGGCTTCTGTTTTACAAATAATAACAAGACAGAATTCTGGGGTTTGATCCAAACTCTATTTGTACCAAGCCTTTCCCTGTCCCCATGCCAACAGGCACTGAGATGCGGACTGAAAACAAGCTGAAGGTCTTGGGCTTATCTCATGTGAAAATGAGCTTCTTGGACATTGGGTTGGTTAGACACCCATGAGCCCCGGGGGAAATCTGCTTCCTTGGAGCTCTCTGGGCATATTAAAACTGCTATTCTGTGTGGCCTGCTTCTGTCAGCATTGGTGATCAATCAGCTTGGCTGTCAGTGAACTCTATACTATGGACCTTCTCCTGAGCCTTAAAAGGCCAAATCCTGAAGGACCCAAGAATGTCTGTACTTGGGAAACCATCAGTCTTGGAGAAATGACTACAGGGCATCTTCATTTAGTGTTCCTTAAATGTCTGTCATGTGCACATAATTTTCATTTGTGTGAACATGTGCGTGTATACCTATGTGTGAGTGTACAGGTGGATTTGTGGTGGCTTCCTTTACTACTCTCTATCATGTGATTTTGAGGCAGCAGTCTCTTCAATGGGGCTGGGGCTCACTGATGGGCTATACTCATGGCTAGAAAGCCCTGGCTACTGTTTGTCTCTGCCTCTACCCTACCCTCAGCACTGGGTTATGGGTGTGCATGACCACACCCAGCTTTGTGTGTGGACTATAGGGATCCAAACCCAGGCTTTCATGCTTGCAAAGCAAGCATTTTATCCAGGGAGCCATCCCAGCCCCATGTTATTTTAATCTTGCTTTGTCTAAGCACTAACTATAAAATATAACTCATTTTTTAAAATTTGAATGGCCATATCAGCTCCATCCTATGCCGTAATGTAAATAAGACTACAAGTTTGATTCACAGCATGTAATGAATGTAAAACAAACACACAACTATTATAAATTTAGAAGGTTCTATCACATTAGTTCTAAAATCATCTCAAGTACTAACAGCTGCTCAGGCACAACAATTTGGGATAGGTTGATATTCATACAAAGTCCTCCTGGGACCTCATTCTGGAGAAATTTTGTGGAACAGGAGAAAATTGAGCCCCACGAAGACCTCCAAGGTAGATGTTCAAAAGAGAGGATGAGATGAGCAGAGACATTTTGATCTTTAGTGCACAAGTTTCTCCACTTCCTTCTGCCCTCTCCACCACCCCATCCCCCACATTGAAGCACCCACAGGATGTTTACTTGGAAAAAGGTCATGCTGGAGCCTCCATGAATCGTGCCGTACTCGATGGCGGTCTGATCAGCCAGGTCATCCACGGACTCAATGGGCACTTCCATGCGTTGCACAGTCAGAAAGGCAGCCAGGTTGGCTGTATACGATGAGATGATGATCAGTGTGAATGCCCACCTATGCAGGAAGAGGCCAGGAAGCCATGATTGCCAGGGCACTCCCAGGACGCTTGGGTCCCTAAGTCCAGTTAGGCCATGAGCCAGAGGAAAGCAAGTGTCTTTTTTTTTTTTTTTAAAGAGATCTCAGGTCCATGTGGGGAGGGAAGGGATAAAGGACATATAATGACAAGAGACATGAACTGAGTTTGTGAGTGTTGCCTGGAAGATGACGATTGGTTGTGGGGTTTCTATCCCCTTGTTTCTGAAAGGCAATTACTTGTTGTTATTCAAAGGATGTATAGCCCATGCACACCAGAGTCTGGGAACTATAGCAGATGAGCTAGTGAATGAGGAAAGGGCTTTGTGCAGAGCTGGAGCAAGGGCAGCTCTCTTGCCTCCTCATTCTTAAGGCAGAATTCAGCTGCACATTGCCATGCAGAGAGTACCTAACAGGAGCAACATCCACTATCTCAGCTAATCCCTACAGCTCAGGAAGGTGAACCCATTCTCTCCAACTGCTGCAGGAAAGCAAAGAGCGGCTCTGGGAAGGAGCCAGTTCTATGACTGTAACAACAGAAAGTCTTTAATGAGGATGAACTGGTGAAAAGCATCTTTGGACCGTTGGAAGTTGAAATTGGAAAATACTCTGACAATGGGCAAGCTGCTTCAGGCTTTAAAGAGTATTCTATTGAATTACTAGAATTCATTTGAAATTTGAATAATTTTGCAATGCAGGCAGCATATATGTCAAACAGCAGTGTGTTCACTCTGGTAGGCTAAGCAAGATTTTCCCATCTGCTCATTAGGCTGTATCTACATCAGTACTGCCTTGTGTGTCAGGGGCTCAGTCACAGATCTCAGCACAGATCGGAATGGAGAATCACCAATTCCGAACCCATGGCATCTGAATTCACAAGGCTTTACCCAGTATGCAGAAACTGCTACTTTAATGCATAGCATTTGTCTTGGGACTCAGCAGCTGGTAGCTGCCAGGTGGATTTTCGAGACTAAGAAATCCCATTGTTTCTTTTGTTATCAAGTTGTTGTTATCAAGAACTCCAGCAGGATGTCTTCCTAGAGACACACAATAGGACTTCTATGTGCTTCACCACCAGGGAGATGGACTGCTTGTTTGTTTGTTTGTTGTTGTTGTTATTCTGGTCATAGTCTACCAATGAGATAGCAAGGAAAGCCCTGGTGTTTTCTGGGCTTCTTTATCTAATAAATGAAGATAATGACACCTTCTCTATCAGGGGACTGATAACAGCAAATGAGATACTATGTCTAGAAATAATTAGACAAATACGAGAGTTAGAAAAATGTAGAAAGGCTTCCAGGCTGGCCAGGGGATAAAAACCATCTGGTCACCTCCCTGCTGCTTTTTCAAGTAGTGACCTCTAAGTGACAGGCTTCCCTTCCTGTTCAGGACAAACTCTCTGCACCCTCCTTCAGCTCTTTACACAGTTGCATGCTGTTTCCTGTGATGATCCTGAGGGGCAAGCCCGAGTTGGGCAGCAGCCTGATGAGAAGCATGGTTAATGTACCCTGAATGTAGACATGTCCTCAGAGCTGTCTGGAAGCTTCTCTCAGGTTCATAGCCATATTCCCTGTTCTTTCCTGGATGGCATGTGGCTATTTGAGGCCACGGTCATAAAGACAAGGAGTCAGTCAGCTCAAGTGACCCAGTACAGATAGATCTACCTCAAGGAGTTGGTGGGGCTGTGCCCCTGTATCAAAGGGCATTAGCAGTTGCGAAGGTGGCACTTGCTCTGGTTGGGAGGCCAAAGCAGGTCATGGTGGCCCTCTTCTGGCCTCCCGCTGTCCCAGGGGACTAACTAAACTTGGATTTTTGTATCTCAGAACTCAAGAGACAGAGAGACATGCTGATAACTGTGGACAATGGGCTAGTAAGGATCTTTCACAGCAGCTCCTTTATCGCTGAGTTCCCTCCCCAACGTGCTTTGGAACACAGTGACTCAGTCATCTGGGGCTTGTTATTTTGAGCACCACTCTGTAGGATGTGGGCTTCTAAAACTCTCTGGAGGAAGGCTTTCCCTTGAATGCTGTAGGGAGCCAATGGTAGATGAAAATGGCGAAGAACAATGGCCCAGACATACCAGTGGCAAACAACACCCTTTGGAAGGAAAAACCCATGGAAATGAAATTAACACCCTTGGGTATTCCTCTTCCAAGGTTTCTGCCTAGGTTCTCTAGACTTCAAGGGAGTTCTGTGACTGCCTCTGTTAAAGTGATCTCCTCTCCTTGGGGACACAAAGCCCAATTCTGCCTGTTTATCTATTCAGTGACATCTCTGAAATACCTGGGAACAGGCACGCATCTTGCCTAAGTGGCTTAAATCCAGCCATATTTGGTATTAATTAGGGGCAATGAAAATTCTATATAGAAAGGGGTGTCATTATCCTAGTTACTAGCCCCAGCTCTAAAAGCAACTCTGGTACCTGTGTCTAGACCAACTGTGTGACCTACATACTAGTAATCTGTGATGGAAATACCTCACTCCCTTTCCTTTGGTTTAAACAGGCTGAGGAGGAGGCAGGGGGACCAAGGCTGAAGGTTCCAGAAGCTGTGACAGTCAAAACTATTATAGCTTGCTATGAGGACCCTCAATACTTGTATCTTGCAAACTTGCCTCTTTAGGCTGCACACTCTCTTCATTCCCCACAAGAATCTAATACAAATGACTGGGTTCCAAAGAGCTTTCCTAATGTCGAAACATTTGCCCAGAGTCTACAGGTTTGCCTGCTCCCGTATCTCTTGAGATAGATAGGCCAACCCTGTAGAGCCAGGAGGAGGACACAGCCTGAGAAAGCTGGGAGCAGAGAACAGAGACGGGACCTTCTCCTTTAGGGACTTTACTACAGGGTCCTATTTGCATAAATCTGAATATGCTTTCAATTGGCCCAGCTACCCTATCTCAGTCATTTTTCAGGTCAAAAGGTCGGCTTTTTTTTTTTTTTTTTTTTTGCTGTGGACCATCAAAGCTGTTTCCTTTGTTCTTTTTCCTTTTTAGTCTTGGCTCTTCTCTGTACCCAGACCCCAGAGCTAGGGCCAGGTACTAGGAGAAAGTAAATAAATAGTACTGAGCCTTTGTGCTCTCTTACCCTACCTCCCACATCACATTACCCACTACCTGGCCCCTTGCTAGGGTCTGTCTGGCAAGGCAGATCTTCCTGGTTGCTCCCCTTGCCATCAGGAAGGGTGGATCTGTTTGGAACCCACCTCCAGCCTCTATTTAGTCCAATCCCCTAGCCCTGGGGCCTTACCAGACGCCACTGACACAGCGGGTGGACAAGGCGCGAGGGGCGATGGTAGAGCCCTGCTGCATGAAGCCTCCAACTGGAAACCAGAGGCTGTTGCCTAGGGAGTACTGGTTGACCAGGAGATTACACCGGCCCTGTGCACAAGGATGTGGACTGTACCACTCATAGGGAGTTAACCTGCAGGAGAGAAGACCACATTCCAGTGGTGAGGACGGTAGACATGGGGTACTGGAGAGGGGCACAGCTGTATGACGGGATCATTTGCTTCTCTTTGCTGTACTGTTTCTTTCTCCCATGGAGGGGTAGCAGATGGGATGGCTAGACCAGGTTGGTGCTTCTCCGACTCTTTTCATTTATTCATTCAAATAAGTACTTTTCTCCCCTAAGTAAACTGAGATGCTCAACTCCAGTATTCAAAAGGACCAAAAGTGGTGCCTTTAGCAGAGAGTTGAGAGCACCAGGAGTGGGCATCCTGGGAGGGCCCTTGCTCTTTCATGGTGAATTCCTGAGGCCTGGGAAAGATTGCAGGGTGATGATTTAAAAATCCCTTACCCCAGCTCTTTAGTTCTGAAACCCTGGGCTATATCAGAATTGCCAGGGAGACTTATGTATAAGGCCCTGCCTGACAAACCTGTGAATTGTATGAGGGCTAAGACCCTGTAAGGTCCTGAGTGATGTGAATGGCACCAGGTCAGCATCCACAGTGACAGCCACTGACTGCTGTCAGCCCCAGCCTTAAAGATGCAGATGTACAAGGACCGGGTGATTCAAATATTAGCGCTCCCCCTGTTGTGAAGTAGTTGTGATGATGAGCTGGCTTGGGGATGGCTGCCTGGAGCTTCATTTTCCTATTCTAAAAATCTCACCCAAAAGACAGCATATGAGAGAGAGAGAGAAAAAAAAGGACAATCTGTCTGAATGAATAGGCATTGGGGCTTCAGAGTTCTTGATGCCCACATGTTGTCTATAGCTCCCAGAAGCCGTTGCACTCCACAGAACCCATTTGTAAACCACTGCCTTAGAGCACAATATCCCAGGTTTGCACAGCATACAAATATGTGGTCTTATGATTAGCCCTCTAATACCTTTCCATTTTCATTCTTTGAGATAGGGTTTCACTCTAGCCCAGGCTGACCTGGAACTCACTATATAGCCCAGATTAGCTTCAAACTCATGGCAGTACTTCTGCCTCAGTCTCTTACCGTGATAGACTAGCACATTTTCTTGTGTTTTCTTTTTTCTAATGCCTCATTTTGGACAGTGTATGGGTATGGTGACCACAGAGGAGGGTGTAGAGCTCATCCGGGCAGCTTTAGGTGAATCAGGCTTGTGTGTTTATACATTAACAAAGCCCTAAGACACTTTTCAGGTGACTTGAAAACTGTGCAGACTCCACTACCTAACTGTCCACACATACAGACGTAGCCACAGGGGGCCGAAGAGAAGCTCAGAGCAGCAGAGCCTGGATCTCACAGACAGCTTCCTAAACACCGCAGCAGACAGCACTGCGAAGTGGAGAGCGAAGTGTCAGACAGCACGCGAGCACCCGCGCCTCGCCAGCTGTCACTGACAACAGATACTTGACAGTGGCGATGCCTGTGGGGCCAAGAGGGGTGGGAGGCATACAAGTAGCAAACTCAGTGTCTTTGAAGACTAACTAGATGGTTACAAAGGCCATTTGTTATTGTTCGGCTGGATCTTGTGAGTCCTGGGTGAGTGTCTTGCTTTTGGCTTTGATGACCTGCGAGGCTCAGTACATTCCTGTTGTCTCTCCTAAGTGGAAAGAACATGGACTCCCTAACACATAGAACAACCTTGGGAAGTTCCCCTCATAGAGCATGGGCCAAAGGATCATCTGGTCCCCAAAGCTGTGGCCTGGAGACATAAAGAAGTCTTTGCAACAAGGTCTCTGTCAGGTTTCTAGCTCAGCCTGAGCTATTCTCCCCCCCACACAACAGTCTGCTATAGCGAGATGAGGGTTGAACAGGTGGTAGGGGCATGAATGGGTGGCAGGTGAACTGTCCTGAAGCCAGGCTACCTCACCCTAGGGGCAAACAACCCCTCTATGTACAATCTTTGGAATTAACAGCCTAGGGATACATTCCTAGGGTCCTTCCATACAGCCAGAAACAGTGTCTGGCTTCTGGGGACACGGGAAAGCTTATTCTCCCTAACCCCTCATCCTCACCATTTCTCTCAACCTAATGCTACACACAAATGCTCCCTCTTATCGCCTGCTACCCTACGTGGTACTTGTTCAACAAGACAGCTGTGTTTTCAGAGCCAGAGCCAGCCCCTGCAGAGGCAGCATCCTCCCTGGCCTGTGTCACTGTGGCCTCTGGTCCCCCCCCCCCTTCCTCACCCGCCCTGTCTGGATGTGCAGGCTCCATTTCTTGTCTTTCAGCACTTTATGGCGGATCCTGGCAAAGACAGATGCCAGGGTGGCCAAATGCACTGTGCTTAATTAGAGTCATCTTCCTGTCACCCCCTCCCTCTTCTCCCTTTCCCAAGGCTCCTACCCAAGTTGGGGGTGGGGGGTGGCTAGGAGGATGCAGGAGGCCAGAGTACAGGAGCAAATCTAGACGAGCAAACCTGTCTGCGCTGCGCATGGTAGGGAACACATGCATGGACAGATGGATGGGTGGTGTGAGGCTGACAGCTGGGCAGAGAGCATTTCAGGCTCCCAGTCCATCTCTCAGCTCTATTTGGCCAAAGTCTTCTAAACCATCCTCTCCTCCTCCCACCCCCGCCCCATGCAGTTCCCAGAGTGGACACGAGGTGGCGATGTGAGGACAGGGAAGGGAAGGGAAGAGTACCTAGCCACCAGGAAGAGGACACAGCTGACGGCCAGATAAGCTAGAAGCATGAAGAGCCAAACTCCTGGAGAAAAGGGGTCCAGAAAGGAGAAATAGCCCGGTCTGCGTCCCTGAAAATGGAGATGAAAATAAGATTCACTATATACAGTCAGTCAAATGGCTTTGGACGGGGCAGGGCAGGGCAGGGCATGAGCACTGGTTTGGTCCAACACTCTGGTTTCTTTGGGCTCTGGGCGATTCTAATGACACCAGGGATGATGGTAGAGTAGGGACTGTCCTCGAACACTGGATCTCACAGATGAAACTAAATAGCAGTGTGTGTGTGTCTTTTCCTGGGATGTGGGGGCCTTTGTACTGAACAGATCCGCCAGGCCTTGATTCCTAGGACACACTGCCTTGCATTTTTGGGGTGTGTGGATGAGCTGAGGAGATCCTCTGAGCTCGTGTTGCTGTGTCAAGGTCTGAGCTCAGTACCCCACTTTAACACTTAAACATCTGTATGTTTCTCTCGAGACTGTTAATGCAGCAGGCTTCCTTAGCTTTTTGCTCTGCATAATGTTCTCACAGACAGTGAGAATATTCATGCAAATTTTGAAACAGTCCTGTGGGTTCATTTAATGAGTGAAGGAATGAAAGCCCAAAAGATGTACCCAAAGTCACACAGTAGTAAATGGAAGACTTTGAGACCTATTGTCTAACTCAAAGCTGCCTTCCTGTCCCTTTACACCATGATGATATACTACTCCAGAGTTGGAGCCAGGAGGGGAAAATACATGCCAACTTCTCACCAACTTCTGCACAAGAAGCAGAGTAGAATGTGAAAGATAGTGTCACGGTATCTGCTTCATTTTCAGCTGCGTGGTCCTGGGTAAGTCCCTAGTCCTGTCTGGCCTCAGCTAGAGCTGGACCAGATCAGACCCACTCTCCAAAGAGCAATGAGCTGCATGGAGCCACACACAGGCTTGCTTCATTACCCTACAGACTTTCATTTTGCACTAGTTGTCAGTGTTAAAGGAAGAGCAGAGTTCACACACACATGTACATTCCTACTTTGCTAAAGGAAATGAGCATCGTAGGTCAGTGGTTCTCAACCTGTGGGTCATGACCCTCTGAGGGTTGAATGGCTTTTTCATAGGGGTCACGTAATATCACTGGAAAACAGACATTTACATTATGATTCATGACAGTCGCAAAATTATAGTCATGAAGCGGCAATGAAACAATTTTATGGTGTGTGTGTGTGTGTCTCTCTCTCTCTGTGTGTGTGTGGTGTGTGTGTGTGTGTGTGTGTGGGTTCACTGCCACCTAAGGAACTGTATTAAAGAGTCACAGTGTGAGGACGGTAGAGGACAGGACAGTGAGAAAGCTGAGCAGTGGCTGCCGCTACAGATAGAGTATGCTCTCTCCAACCCCGTTCCCGTATCAGCTTTGTTTCTTTTGTTTACTACAAAATCACTGGGCAAGAGGCTGCCTAAGGGCCATTCAGAATAGAAATGCTGCAATTTTATGATCTCGGGAACGGAGGAAGTCTGTAGACAGAACTAGAAGTCAGTGTTACCTTCAGCCGTTCTATGAAAAGTTCTGCTTTCACAGTTAAGAGTTTACCAGTCTTCATACCGCCTACTATCTGCATCCTGCATCCAGCATCCAGGTATGTCATATTTACTTGGGGGCCCAGGAAAACAAATGAAAAACACCTACACCAATACTGACTAAACTCAACCAGGTCTCTGAGTTGGCAGTAGTCATAGGAAACTACAAGGAGCTGAGCAGCTCCCACTAACAGTGTCTGTCGCTACAGCCTTCCGTGTGGCAGCGAGAGAAGCAGTTGTGAGTGCCTGCATAGCCCTATTCCTCAGGGACATCAGTTTTTCTGGGTGGCTTCTCATTCCCTTCCAGAGAGCCAGGAGGGACATCCTCAATTCCCCAGGGAAGAATTTTAGTTTCCGCTGGGAGACTGTCTCAGAGGGGACACAGAGAGGATGCCAATGGCTCACCACTTGCCAGCACACGAATGCTAGGTGCATATAGAATAACACTTGATCAGGCTGATTGGGAAACTGAGCCAGTTTGTGAAGCAAAGGCCAGGAACTGAGGGAAGGGGGCAGGAAGAGGAGGACATGATGGAGACCAGACCATGTGAGTGTTTGGTCCCATCTTTACACAAATTCTCTGAAAAGAAGCAAGGGGTTCAGGGGCAACAGAGTTTGGATCCCTGCTTGCTCTAGTGACTGTCGTATTCCCCACCCAAGCTGCTGTGGCAGACACAGAAAGACACAGAGTATAAAGAATCCACACAGATGATGAAGGACTCAAAGGGGACCAGCCTACACTTCTACTGCATCAGTCGCTAGCTTGGCCCACTCTCAGACTGCCTCCGGATAAATGTATGCCAGTTCTATGTGACCTGTTAGGACTGTGTCACTCTGTGTCTTTCAACAGAGAGACAGGAGAGGGGGGACAATCTTTTATTGTTACTTTCTGAATCTGAGGCCCCATCAGATGCTCCATGTTAGATATCTATACTTGATTCTATCACAAGAGGTGAACCAGAGGAAGACGGCAGAACTATTTAAAGCTGCCAAATTTGGTTAGGGGCAATAAGAAATGATGTAGAGCCTTGAGAAAAACTCTCAGAGACTTGGGTTATAAGACATAGGACATCACACAAACAAGATGTAAGATGTAAGCATGGCCTCACTAGAAAGCTACCAGTCACACTGGCACAGCAACATCTGATTTCAACAATGATTGACTGACACCAACCATAAGAGCAAGGCCTGGGCAGTCATTTGATATCTGGGTCTGGGTTTAGACTGAGCCACTGTTGAAATGACAGCAAAAGAAGTATGTTCCTTGCAAGCTTCCGAATGCCAACCATTTTTCCTATGTGCATGTTTTAGATTGCTTCTTTCCCAAGGAACACCCTAGTTACTGGGACTTGGAACAAGTCATGATCACATGCCATAGGCATTTCTTCTGCATATTAGCTTCCTCTAAACCCAAAGGATGTGTGATAGTGGCAACTCTTCTTCTGAAAAACTTGGTACTTCACTATGTTCTCTTAATTTCAATACCCAATTTTCCAAGGTGGCAGATGGAAGAATCAAGACCCAGGGAAACTAAGTGCCTCACTCAAATCAATAGTGATGGCTTCAATTTCCCTGGTACTCACCCATCAAGCTGTGCCACCAGCACACTGTACTACTCCATTCTCATGGCAGCTGTACCAAGTCGTGTTTGACTCTTCAATTTTTGCAACTCTCGCCAATAAACTCCCTAATTAATCCCAGGCCTTCTACCCCAATGCCAAGAGAATCCCAATTTACTTGATCCTACCCATTTAAAATACTCATAAATGTTATTTATCTAGCCTCATCATCATTTATTGAGACTCCGTTGTTTTATAGGCATTTGTATTGATTTATACAATCAATATAACTGCTGGGTGCAAGTGAGGCCAGTTCCTTTTGGTGAATGCAACCATTCTGAGTGTAAATAAGTGGTGCTTTATGCATCTATCTCTCTATATATAGTCATAGACATAGATCTGTGCCTCGGAGGTCATGGACAGGCCAAGCCCTACTGATGGTACTGAAAATTAGAAGCAGCTGTCTTGGCTTTTAGACTATGCTTCAATTTGAGTTTGCATCTTTGGTGCTCTTTGGTGATGAGAGAGCCCTAAAGGATTGGTCATCAGATAGCTCACGGTCCTGGTTTGTGGAGGTTGTTTGAATTGCATCATGACAGTGGACCTTCCCATATGAAACATGTCAACACTTCCTTTTACTTTCTATTAGTTCACTCAGATTTCTATGTGTTGGAAAATGATATTATAGAAAGAAAGCACTCTCCTTCCCAAAGTCTAGAGCCAATGCAAGGGACATGGGAGCCTGATAATGCAGGAGGAGAAGTAAATAAAGATGCTAACTCTGGAGCCAGACTACCAGGGTTTATACTGGTGTTCTAGCTAGTTACAGGCTCAACAATGTTGGGCAAGCTACCTAACCTCTGGGTTTCTACTTACTCCTTATAACTTGGGGGTAACAATAATTTGACTTTCTAGGATTGTCTTGAGGACTGAAGATATGGTACGGTGTGTCTGTCTGTCTGTCTGTGTGTCCGCGCACACTTTTCTCTATCTAATGGCAAACAGGAATGAAAGGAAGGATGATGTGTGACAAAGGAGGAGACTTCCTTCTACACCAATACCTTTCCCTTCCCCTAGTGCACTAAACATACTACTTCCTGTTTCATGATGACACAGGATGAAGTTGTTTGAGGGAGAAGGTGACCATCTGGCCTCAGCCACTTTTCCTAGTTCTTCAAGTCCCTGTGGATTATAGCACATGAATCAGAAGGGCTCTCCAAGGAATCAGCTAGGGCAACCCAGGCTTCATCCTGAAAGGATGCATCTTAGAAATCAGTGGTTCTATTTGTTGTGGTGGTTCTATTTGTTTTGCTGAGACAAGTAGCCTAGGCTCAGCTTGAACTCACTGTGTAGCTCAGGCTGACTTCAAACTCACAATCCTCTTGTCCCTGCCTCTTGAGCGCTGGTATACCAGCTGTGTCATTATGCCTGCCTCTGGTTCCAATCCTGAGAACTCTGTTCCACCTCAGCTTTCCCAAAGAAAGGTCCTGAAGAATGAAGCAGACACATGGCAGATGCTCTTGGATCTGTGGAAGGGCAGTGTGCCTCACCATCATTTCTCTACACATCACACTAGTGACATCAACTCCTTCCCTGTGTTCCCATCTCTCCAGCATGTCACTAACAAAGTGTCATCACGTCTCTGTGTCCTTTTGAATGTCTGTGGGACTAAATGGCAGTTTACAAGGCAGTTCTTGTTAGACAGCCAACTGCCAGGGATGGTCAGTGGTCAGTAAAACATCCTCTAGGGTTGAGAAGGGAAGGAGATAGTTTATCTGTTACTCATCCTGGGAGAGACAGAGGAAGTTATTTATAATTGTAAAAGCTTATATTGTTAATCTGCAGTATGTGTCTTTTTAGTGTGGGGCTTAGTGTGCACCCTACCTTTGAGCCCAGGAGGATAAAGTAAGCAAGGAGCACCTCCAATCCACATAAAATACCTTGATAGTTGGTTGTTGA